CTCTCCTGTCTCTGGGGTGGTTGTGGCTGCCACCATCAGCTGTGAGCTCCCACAGGTGGACCCAGGCCCCACCGCCTCCCTTGGGGTGATGCCATTAAGTGCCACGCTTGCCATTCCACTGACAGGGCAGGGGACTCAGGCAAGAGGCCTGCAGCCCCATGAAGTAGCGCGGTGAGTGGGCGGAGGAGGCAGAGGCAGCCACGAGGGGCGAGTTCCGGAGTGGGCTGGGCCGAGTGGGGGTGGCACAGCCAGGAAGATGAGGCAAGGTCACTGTCCCAGGACGAGGGGGGTGAGTGGGGGAGGCCAAGGCTGGCTCTCGCACAAACAGGGAAGAGAGCATGGCAGGCCAGGCCAGCGCCCAGTAGGGCCACATCCACCACCTGCTCCCTGGAAACCCTGGGCTTCCCTTTGCGGATGCCTCAGCGGCTCACTCCGAGCCCTGCCTCCCCCTTTCCTCTCTCAGCTGCTGGTTCTCCCTCTGGGGGCTTCTGCTAGAGCCCAGCGGCCTGCAGAGGGTCAGCAGCTCCCTCTGGCCTCACCCTTCAGCCATACTCTTCTGTTCTCTCCTGGCACCTTCGGCAGTTCCTGCCCCCTGAATCCCAACCCCCAGGGCCTCCGGGACCTCAGCCCACACAGCCTCAGGCCCTGCACTCATCCTGGAGGGGCGCTCGGTGGTGACAGGAGCAGGGCTCAGGCAGGGCTGAGATTGAGCCATGGGGGAGGGCTGGCAAGAACAAGGCTGTGGGCCTGGCTGGAGAGGGGGCCAGTAGGGCCCAGAGCCAGGGAGCCCAAGACTTGGGCAGAGACCCAGAAGCTCTGGGAGAGGCCTGGGACAGCTTGGCACAATGGCCACACCTGAAATGAGGCTTCTGGCAGCAAAACTGAGTCTCCTGCTGGTGACCTCATCTGGATAAGGCAGGGCAGCCAGAGGAGGACTCAGTGACCCCACCGGGAGGGGACAGAGGCACAACGCAGGGACTGCCAGGGATGCATATGATATGGGCAGATGGGCAACTCCCTTAGCCCTTTTTTTTCCCTTTGGGCTTCAGAACAGGTGGTCCCCAGGAAGCCAAGAGGGGAGGAGAGGCAGCTTGGATGGCCCCCTGCCCGGCCCAGACAGGAGAGCTACCAGTCGGAGCAGGCTTCCTTTTCCTCCCGGCCTCCAGTCTTTCCAAGACTGTCCGTGCCGGTTACCATCTGCCGTGGTGGTTGCCAGGGGAACCACTGAGTATTTTTGTATGTTGCCCACATGACGGGGCCTTGGAAAGGCTCAGGCATGGTTGGTCCAGGAGGAGGTGATGCCCGGTGGGCTCTGTTGGAGACCTTGGTCAGGGGGTGGGCATTGTGGTTCTTGCCTAGGATGGGGCCCAGAATTCAGACCTACATCCCCGAGTGAAGGGTGGGGGGGTCATCGAGGCGAGGGGTAACCCACGTGTGGGAAAACCAATGCATTCTCTTGTTCACCTATCAAGCACAGAAGGTGCTGGGCATTCATTGCACTAGGTGGTGGTGAGACAGCTGAGAACAGGGCTGGTGGCAAGAATGACGAATGAAAAACACTGTCATGGGGCAGCAGAATCGGTGCTGATGCGGGCACCATCTTGGCAGGGAGGGGTCTGGGAAAGCTTCCTTGATGGGATGGTATCTAAGCCAGGACAAGGTATTGTAGGTGATGTGGGCAAGAGGTAAGTGACAGAGTAGGCAGTTAGTTGGAAGAGCCTTCTAGGCAGAGGGAACAGCATGTGCAAGGGCCCGGGGAGATTGCGAGTGAGGCATCTTCTGGAATGGAAGTCACCTAACTTCTAGAGTGTGAGGTAGGGCCCAACCCCAGGGGAAGTGAATGGTCGGCAGGCACCCAAACCATCGGGTGTGGTGGGGAGCTGCACCACAGGGGGCACACCCAGGCACAGCTGACATTAGGCCTCCGGCAGCAAAACGGCGGTACTCTTGGGGGAGGTGGGCTGGTGTTTCCCCACGGCCCTTGGGACTATGGGAGAATCTCTAGGGCTTCTGAGAAACCAAAGAGCCTGAACTGTGGGAGGGAGATGCCATCAGCAGAGCTGGGTTACTGTTCAAAGTTCTGGGCTGAGCAGCAAGTATCTGGGGAGGGGACAAGAATGGGCTGAAGCTGGGCACCCTGATTTCTCCCACCCAGCCCATCGCCCAGACCCTGGACGCATAACTGACGATTTCTTCTCACATTGGTCTGTGAACCTGCTGGGAAGTCTGAGAAGCATTCAGTCCCGAGTGGAATGGGAGGGGAAGAGGAAAGAGGAAGTGGCACCGGGCAGGTGTTGGGAATCTGCTCGGGGCATTACGACACTGCACATCCGGTGCTAGCACCAGCCTCGTGAAGTGGGAGTTTGGACTTTCATTTTAAACACTAGGAAACTGAGGCTCTGGGAAGATAAATAACTCACCTGGGATTATAGAGGCGGTAAGCGATGACATCGGGACTCGTACCCGTCAGTCTGACCCTGAAACCTGTCTCTCCCCACAAGACGAAAGCAATGGACTGCACACCTGCCACGTGCCGGGCAATCAAGCTAAACACAGGAAACCTGAAAACAAGAGTATTTTCTTTTGTAAGAATCTCATGAGATCAGGGGCAAGGGGCCTGTGGCAGGTCATATTTTCCCAAATAGGCCTGGTGTTCCTTGACCCTGGGTGGGCTTCATGGCTGCCATGAGGTGTGGAGGTGACATTGCCTGATGCTAGAGGTCAGGTCATAAAAGGAGGCACAGCCCAGTTTCGTGAGAAGTCATGCGTGGAGAGGAATGGAACTTCCTGCCCAGGACCGGCTCCACCCCCGGGAAATGTGAGCGAGCCCCGCTTCTTTGTTCTGGCGGAGGCCCCAGACAGCCGGGATGGACCAGCATCCCCAACAGCGCCCTCCCAGAGTCACTGGCCACCGCACCTCTGAGCACAAGGAGGAACCATTGCACACCGGTAAGTTCTGGGGGTCATTACTTACACAGCTGTGGTCGCAGGAACGAGACTTTGGAAACTGTTAAGTGTGCACAGGTGTGAGGTGTTACTAGTAAACCCGGGTTTGGCATTACGTGATCCATTGGTGTCTGAGGAAGTCAATTGTGTCTTACCCTGGGTTGTGCCCCTGCTGGGTAGGGTCTGGTGTGCAGGGACGGACATTTGGGAAATGATCCTTGGGCTGAGGCCCAGGGGACTGAGGGGAGTAACACAGGGAAGGACGCTCTCCCAGTTCCAGGGGGCATTACTGAGCGGATCACCTCTGTGTGCAGCTGGGGCTCAGTCCCACCTGAGACCCTCTCAGGAGCCCAAAGAACGAGCCTCAGTGGCGGGAGGGGTCTGCAGACTCCAGCCCCTGTTGGTGGAGGGGCGTTCCGGGGGCAGGTTAGCTCCTTGCCCTTGCCGGCTGGAGTGCCCTAGAATGGCTTAGACGGCTCGCTTGGCAGAGAAGCCCAGGGGAAAAAGGCTGAACTTGGCACTGAGAGATACCACCACACGTAGGGGGCCGACAGGCTGCGAATGAGAGCATGAGAGGTGTCCGACACATTGTGGTATTAAGTAATTCTCGAGGCCATGCTTACGTGGGATGTCCTGGGCGCACGTCTGCAGGGCCAACCCCTGCCTGGCCAGATTCCCTGCCACCCGGAGGCAGCCTGCCTGCCCTTTCTGGAAAAGCCTGTGCAGCCTTTGTGCCCTCGAGCTGTCCTCCTTCAGAGTCGGGCCCTGTAGGTGGTCTCTAGGAATCACAGAGTCCTGTCTGATAAGTTCCAGGCCCTTTACTCTTGGGTGGGTGGTCACCAAGCTCCCAGCTTCTGAGTGGGACACCAGAGTTCGCCAGGAGAATCTCTGGTCTGGACACATGGAAGAACAAGGCAGAGGTCAAGCCTGGCCCTCAGAAAGGCTTTGGCAGGTTCTCCCTGAGGTGACAGGTGAGACAGAAGCTAATGTTTCTCAAAGTCTATCCGAGCCCATCCATGTCACAGTCTCCTGGGGGGAGGGGGGGCGGGAGGGTGCTCATTAAAAATGCAGCTCCTGGGCCATGTTCTAGAAATCCGGAATCTGGGGCCCTGGGGTGGGCCCTAGCATCAGCATTTTGAACAGTCAGTCCCCTTAGGAGCGTCTTCCGCTTAATGTAAAAATTCTCTCTTGGGAAGAGATGCTATTTAGTTTCTGTCAAAGAAATTCATCTCTACTATAAAAATTCCAGGATGAGTTTAACGTGGTGCTTCTCAGCCTCAACACATGAGACCCTTTGGGCCAGAGGTTCTTGGTCTGAGGAGGAAGGGCTGTCCTGTGCACGTGAGCTACCGGTAGAGTCCTACAGCTGTGACAACAAGCATATAAAAATGTCTTCAGACAGGGCCAGTGTCCCTTAGAGGGGAAAAAAATCCCCCCTCAAAAGGAATGAAATCCTTTTGGAAGCTAATCTGAGTCCCGCGTGTTGCGTGGACCTTACCAAGTTTGGGGCGACGTCCAGGCCGGGCTCTGGCCACAAAGCCCTGGCCCTGGGCACCACTTTCCAGCCCAGATGGGGCTGAAGCCAGTCAGGGGGGGTCACTCTGTCCTGGTGGAAGTGCTGAGCCAGCCCTTCTAGCCCCCCCTCACCACCCCTGCCGCTCCCACTCCCACGCATCCTCCCTGTTCCTGCCCTGACGGGGATGGTGAGGACGGCCCCTCAGGGGTGGGGACACTGCAGGCAGGACTGTGAAGGCGCGGCCCACGCACAAGGCTGCCCCTGCCCATGGAGCAGATGAGGCCTCAAGGAGAGGGCGTGTGGGGAAGAATCTTCTCTTGTGAAAAATACGAAGTTTATTTTCGTGCTTATTCTAAAGTAAACATGGTCACAGTGAATCTAGTTCAAGTACAAGAAAACAGAAATCTAAAGAAGTCAGTCACTTCCGCGGTGACACCGAGGGGGCTCCTGGCCCCACTGTCCTGACCAGCCTGGCCAGTGTGTGGGGGTGGGGGGGTGTCACGGGGACATAACACTCGACCAAGGACAATAACAAGCATTCAGGGTTCCCGGTTCAACGTCTGGTTTATTTGGGTCCGGGTGCCCAGAGGCTCGGGCAGCTGAGGGTCTCCCTGCCCCGCGCCCCATCAGGAACACAATCCCAGGAATATCAAAACTCGTCTTTTGTGTCAAAATGGGGCTGGTCTTCGGGCTCGAAGTCCAGGTTGGGGCTGCCGTCCTCGTTGAGAATCCTCCGGGCCGTGTAGCCCACGATGGGGTACTTGGCTTTGTACACTTTGGTGAAGACGTCGTCTAGGGATTTTAGCTCCTCGGCCGTGAGGCCCGTCTTGGGGAGAAAAGCCCAAGCGACACGGGGGAGAGGTGGGGGGGTGGGATGAGTGAGTCATGCCTTGCACTGGACTCTCACCACCCCGCCCCCCTGCCCTCACACCCCTAATGCTGGCGAAAACATATCTCAACAACCAACCAACTTTTCAAGAACCAACCCTGTGTGTAGGGGGATGGTGGGGAGGGAGCCATTTGCTGTTTGACTGATGTGGGAATTCAAGACTCCAGAGAACACCCAGTCTGGGGCAGGGTCGGGTACGTGATACGCAGTCTGCACCCACCTTCTTTTCATGGCCCTCTACCCCTCTCCCATGACAGATTCATACACCCTTCCCCTTCCTTGGCTCCTGAATCTTTCTGTAATGTTGTGGTTTATGAGTCTGATTCATCTGAGCACAGCTGGGTGAATGCCGGCCCCTCTGCTGGGATTTCTGAGGCCCTTAAATGGCTTCTGTCAATGCTGTTTTCTCTTTCACAGGAATATGAACATGGGGATACTCTGCTTCTCAACCCTGTTCATGCCCAGAGCGGCCTGGGGAATGGGTGTCCGAGCCCAACAGCAAACCTATGAGCCTGGGGGTGGCAGGTGCAGACTGTAAGGGGGATGGGGCTGCCAAGGCAGGTTGAAGCCAAACTGTGAAGGTCCCAAGTTCACGGGAGCTTGGGCGTGACTCTGCAGATACTGGGGAGTCTGGGAGGTTTCTGAGTAGGAGTGGCATAGTAAGATCTCTATTTCAAGAAAACAGTTGGCCACACTGAGTGGACGGAAGATCAACAGGCTAATTAGGAAGCTTTGCTGTTGCCTAGGTGAAAAAGGCCATGGCCAAGGCAGGTGGGACATTTGGACAAAGGCTCATAATCTGGCTCACAGTGTCATGGGTGAGGTCTGCGGGGTCGAGAGACATCTTGGCCACCCCTCTGGTGGAGTCCTTCCCAGTCAAGGCATTGTAGGGGGCTCCTCGTCCATAAAACTCTGCAGTGGAGAAGAAGGAAGAAGTCGTGAGTGTGGACATGCACGCCAAGCAGCAAGGAGACGGTGTGTGGTGGGGGAGGGGGCTTCTGAGCCCAATCCGGCGCTGCAGAAGCCTCCAGGCCCAAGGAGAGGGGAAGTAGAAAAGACATGAAGCCCAATAAGCCAGCCCCTGCCATCAGTCTGGGTTCCACTAATGCAGACTTTGGAATAAGTCACACATGCTGGACTGAAAGGTGATTTTTAACAAATACACAGTGAAAACAATCTCTTAAAAATATTTAAAATGCAAACAGGAAGAATGTTCAGTCTTCTTAAATGTTGGTGGAAGCCAAGTCTACTCGGTTCAACATCTTTTGTTTGGTATCAGGTAACAATGAACCATAACAAAACTGCCATGATATCATCGGTAATTACCACTAGAGAAACCACGAAGCGACATTAAAATGTTCTGTCATGTTCTGTGATCCCAACACCTTGCAAAGCAACACTTTTCCTCTCACTGCGTCAACCATGGTAAAAACATCAAGTTGGAATTTGATGACATAGGTAGCAGGGAGCCATGGAGGGCTTTTGAGCAGGAGCATGACATCATTAGAAAACCACTGTGGAAGTACAACAGTGACGAAGAATGTTATCTCCGTCTGAGGGAACAGGCCCTGGCCAGTGTCCCCTCACTTTGTTCACACATCCAGTGCCCACTCTGGCTGCCGAGCTCCCCAGAAGTAAGGATTCATAAAGCCGAGCCACTTACCCTTTCCAGAAGTGACATCAAACACCACTCCTTTCACTGCCATGTAGATGGGCTGATCCTCCTAGAAAGCAGGAGAGAAGCTGTTGGAGGGAGCCCAAGATCTCTGCTCCTCCAGCCCAAGCTGGTGACATCTCTTCCCACCACAGGCTGTGCAGACAGCAGCAGCCAAAGGTACAAAGTGGCCATCCCTGAGCCAGTCCTCAGCCAGCTCGTCCCATCAGGAGCTTGCCCCTGCCTGCCCAATGTCATGTCCACTCACAAACTTAGGAAAAGTGACAACGTATCATGACAAGCCCAGGGCAATACCTTTCTGTGGAAAAAAAAAAAAAAAAAGAAAAGAAAATCCCAGGGACTGAAGCAAATCTACATAGATAAGAATTCAAAGTATGTTAAATGGTGAATTTTTTAAATCAACCCAAATCTCCTTTCATCTTGGTTAATGTACTTACATGGATGCAATCAGTATAAATGATCGATTTTATATTTTGCTTCTTACAGGTAATATTGCTTCATATAAACATTCTCATGTATTGAAATAACCAAAATGGTTGTCACCAACACAGCACTATTTTATATTAGTGATACTGTGTACCTGTTGGTTTGGCTCTTCTTCTATTTTGGGTATTTGGGCTCTTTCCAATTCTTTAAAACCATAAATGGCAGGATTATGAATATCTTTCTATTAGCTACTTTATAATTTCGTGAGTTATATTCCTGGACCAAAGTACATGAACAACGTCATCACTTATTAAAAATGTAAGCAGTCTGTTCTTCAAAAAACCATTTACAGTGCTAGAAATATACAAGCAATGCTGTCTCCCCAAAGTGCTCACAGTCTCATAGTATATTTTTTGCTATATTTATAGGGATAAAATGTTATCTTCAAATCCCTATCCCCTCCCACCACCACTGAAGAGAACAACGCAAAAACAGATGGCATGAATTTCCTAACTACCATCAGGGTGGACTCGGGCTGGGGCAACTGGCACGTTCTAGGACACGCAAGACCAGGTCTCCTTTGTCTCAGCCCCATTGTAGGTACAGGGACACCAACCGTCGGCTCCTAGGCCGGGGTGAAGGGGGCTGCTGCAGCCGGGTACACAGGAATCTCTAGATTTCCGAGAGCACACTGCTCGTTCTCCTCTAGGCATGGGCCTTGAGCTTCTTGACCTCGTGGGGCTTAAGGTCAAGTTTTCATGACTACATTTCACAGAGAGAGGAGCTGGGGCTCTGGGAAGGTAAGTGACTTGGCCGAGGATATGTATCTCACCATCACATAACTTCACAGGCCTCAGTTTCTCTGACCGTTAGGTATGGATAACACCCAATGACCTTGCAGGCACGCTGAAGGACACAGCGTAGGTGAGCACACAGTAGGCCCAGTGCAGGAGCTCAGTGAGTGGTTGGTTATTACATTCTCTATCACCTCTGGACAGTCTCCAGAACTTCTGTTGACTTGGTGGACATGTGCTCCACCTCAACCAAGAGTTATTTAATTCTAATTTTATTTATTTGACACAGTGGGGGAGAGAGAGTGGGAGAGAGAGAGCACGTGCACAAGCAGGGGGAGCTGCAGGCAGAGAGAGAGGGAGAAGCAGACTCCCTGCTGAGCAGAGAGCCCTACTCGGGGCTCAATCCCAAGACCCTGGGATCACGACCCGAGCCAGAAGCAGAGGCTTAATCAACTGAGCCACCCAGGTGCCCCTATTTTAAATTTTTTCTTAAGATTTTTAAAAAATGATCTCTACACCCATGTGGGGCTCGAACTCACCCCCAAGATCAAGAGTTGCACGCTCTACCCACTGAGTCAGCCGGGCACTCCAATACGGGTCATTTTAAAAGGCATGGTTTAGGGTGCCTGGGTGGCTCAGTGGGTTAAAGCCTCTGTCTTCGGCTCAGGTCATGATCTCAGGGTCCTGGGATTGAGCCCCACATCGGGCCCTCTGCTCAGCGGGGAGCCTGCTTCCTCCTCTCTCTCTGCCTGCCTCTCTGCCTACTTGTGATCTCTCTCTCTGTCAAATAAATAAATAAAATCTTTATAAAAAAAATAAAAGGCATGGCTTAACCAGCCAGAAGCCTGCTTTTTTTTTTTTTTAACGGCCTTTCTTTCACTGTGGTTGTGTATTTCTTGACTTCAATAGCTTATCAAGTGGGGTTACATATTATTTCAATTTAAACACTATTTTAACAGTTATAACTTTACCCATGGCATTTGGTCATATTCTCCATCCTGATGCTTTTCCTTGACTACGTCACTCCTTCCTTGTGTGCAAAGAGGCATAGAAACATGACATTCACATACATAAACTAGAACCACATGCATCTTATCACTAACACCCTCAACTCCAACAGTTAAATATTTGTCTCCTCGTGAAACCATACATTGAAGGTGTTGGGGCAAAGAAGTAGTCCCAGCAAAGGGGCAGAAAGGAATGTTGTTACAGACATTCCAGAGAGAGGAATGGCCTTATCGGTTAAACGTCAGGCGCGCTGGGAGTGGGGCTGTGGGGTCGTTCCAGGCCTGTGGAGCTGGGAGTCCACTGGCAGCAGAGCAGTGGGCATGGTTTCCGGGCCCCGGGGGTAACTCAGGCAACTGAGAAGACAGAGGGTGAGTGGAAGTCTTGCAGAAATGCAGACTCCGAAATACAAATGTCCCTGCAGACAGATAAAGACACACATGCTCATCACTAGCTTCCCACCCGGCTCCCCACCCTCTCATCCGCCTGGAAGGATGCTTCGTTTTTTTCATCTGTACAGCAGGTCTGCAGAAACAGCAGGAGGTCTGCCTTTTTCCAAGAGCCCACAGGAGGAGTCACCTCAAGTCGAACAGACCTGGGTTTGAGCCACGGCTTATAAGCTGTGCTGCCTTGGGCAAATTACTTAGTCTCTCTGTGCCGCAGTTTCCCCCTCTGTGAGTATCCACTAAACCAGGCTGTTGTGAGGATTAACCAAGGCAAGAGATATGAAGCCCTTAGCAGTTCGTTAGTTACCCGGATCCTTAATCTAGATTTTGACAGACAAAAAATGTACTTCCCAAGTGACAGATAAGGATTCTAGAGGCATTTTAAGTTAAAACGGAAAGGGCCTTGAAGATTATCCAACACCTTCATTTTCCAGATGCAGCCCTACAAGCCAGGGAGTTGGGAGACTTGCCCTGAGTCCCAGCGGGAATCAGAGCAGTCTCTGGAGCCTTAGAGGCCAAGCTCATTCCACTCCCTGGCCTGCCCCACCGGGGGCCACACAGCATGAAGACAGCGCACTTGCCTGGGACCAGGACAGGGTGAGGGGGGCCTGGGCAATTCATCCACAAGACTCAGGACCACCAGTGAGGCACGGAGTGGGTCAGAAGCGCCCAGATGGACAGGAACCAGGGGAACCCCTGTATGAATGAGGCTTCGCCTTTCTCCTCGGGGTCTGGACTTGCCTCACTGGCCTTCCTCCCCGCCTGCTGTCAAGCGGGGCCAGGAGAGGGCCATGAGAACGACCACAGAAGAGCAGACAAGGCAGCAGAGCCAAGAGAGGGAGGGAGAGGCCTGGAGCCTGGGTACATGCAGGACAGCGGGCCCCTGAGCCTTCAACCTCGCCCTTGAACCGGGGGCCAAGGACAGAGCCAAAGGCCCTCGTTGGTAAAGAGGGAAACTGCTGCGGATGTTTTCTTCTGCAGAAATAACGGGGCCCCCCAAGGATCCGAGGCTGGGTTCCTTTCTGACCGCCGTGGCATCGGTAACCTATTAATGGATTGTGGATTCACTTAGTGACTTACTAACCAATTTTTTTAATGAAGTAGAAAAGGAAAAGTTTAAAATGGAACAGAAAATAGAAAATGTTGGGGTGCATCACACGTAGTAAGGAGAAGCATTGTTTGACAGAACTTTTGTGGTGTGTGTGTGTCCTGGGGGATGGTGCAGAAAGTACGCCCTGACATAGCCGTCTACAAGCCGTCACTCGACTGCACAATTAGAGGGCGGCTTCCCCTCCTTATTCTCCAGCCTTCACCCCACCGCCTTCACTGTATCTTCTTCATGTCTGTTCAGAATGATCTTTCTGGAAGAAGTACAGTCTTACTCCTCACTATCATTCAGTTTTATAAAAGCAGAAAACAAATGTCACCCTGTCACCTCCTGACCTTAGCACAGATCTCCGAGGACAGCTGGTGCTGAGAACAGACAAATTCCATCTACGAAGAATAACCGTGAAGCCCAGGGGGCCTCGGCCAGCTCAGGGTCCAGAGTCACGTGAAATAAACTCCCGCAGCCAAACTACGTTTCCCAGCACACTGGCACGCTGATATCTTCTTAGAACCGGTACCCCCGTGGGGCAGGTCACTGCCTGGCACGATTCTAGGACTGTGCAAGGACGGAGAGGGGCGCCCTTGGTAGTTGCTTTTTCTTGTTCAGGCCGGAGGGAGCAGCGCCTGGTTCACCTCGAGGACTCCTAGCTGTGTAACCTTGGGCAAGTTCCTTTAACCTCCCCATGCCTCCTTCCTCCACTGACAAATGAGATAACAGCCCCTCCCTCGTGAGGCTGTGATGGTCATTAAATGAGCTGGTGCTTTAAAGTGGTTAGGATAGGGGTGCCTGGGTGGCTCAGTAGGTTAAGCCTCTGCCTTGGGCTCAGGTCATGATATCAGGGTCCTGGGATCGAGCCCCACATAGGGCTCTCTGCTCAGCGGGGAGCTTGCTTCCCCACCCCCCATCCTCTGCCTGCCTCTCTGCTACTTATGATCTCTTATCAATCAATAAAATCTTAAAAATAAATAGATAAAGTGGTTAGGATAGTGCCTGACAGAGCTGGCACCATCTGGTCCCAGGCCCAGAAATCAGGTGGGGCTGGGGGCAGGCAGGGTGACCCTCTCTGCCCTTGGTATCCTCCCATGCAGTGAAGGCGGAAAACACATTTTCTGAGGATGGCAAAAATCGTGTTGCACTTGGAGGGTGGAGGATGACATCCGCTCTGAACCAGGGAGAATCCTCAACTTCACTCGTCTTCCCGAAGGGGTCCGATGCAGCGCCCCATAACCAACTCTATGAACATTTCCACAGGAAAGCATGAACATGAGTATTCACACTAAGGACAACACATGACCATTATAAACAGACTCGTGTCAGCACCGGCAAGGTTCTGTCACCAAAGGAGATCAGAGCAGGTTGCGTTTTGCTATTAAATGACTTATTAAAAAAAAAAAAAGAAAAAAGACCTTGTGGGGCACTTGGCTGGCTCTGTTGGTAGAGCATGCAACTCTTGATCTTGGGTTTGTAAATTCAAACCCCACGTTGGGCATAGAGATTACTTAAAAATAAGATCTTAAAAAAAAACAAAAACACCTCTTCTGGGTTCAGAGCTTGATTTTTGAATTGCATAAGAGGATTATGGACCTGTTATACTGCCTCTTGCTTATAACTTTAGTAATAAGCTAACAAAAGTAGCAGCTAAGATTTATAATGGCTTACTATGCTAAGATTACTGCAGGCCTATCCTCCTTTGCATATCACCATCTCATTTAATCCTCACACAATCCCTACATAGAGTAGGCACTCTTGTGATGGCCATTGTCATGGTCAGTTTTACGTGCCAACTTTGATCAATTACAGTATCTGGGTGTCGCTATGAAGATACTATGTGGTTGTGATTAACATCTATAATTAGCTGACTCCATGTAAAGGAGATGATCCTGAACAATCGGGGTGGGCCTAACTGCATCAGTTGAAAGGCCTTAGGAACAAAATTAAGGTTTCCCTGTAGAAGAAATTCCTCGGGTGGGCTGGGGCATCAGCAACTGCCCAGGGGTTTCTGGCCTGCTCTATGAACTTCAGACTTGCCTGACCGGTGCCCACGATCACATAAACCAATTCCTTGCGATAAGCCAAATATGTTATTTTCTACTGTTTCTGTTTCAGGTGGACCAGGAAGCCCTTGCAGTAATCCAGTAATCCAGGTGAGAGGTGATGGTGGCTTGTGCCGGCCTGACTGACAAAAGCATCTTACAGCTGGGAAGACCCCAAAGAGCTCGTGGCCCGAAGAACAGGGAGTCGTAGCCAGGCATGATCCAAAGGTACAAAGCTCTAACTCGGGTACCATATAATGTCTCACACAACAGTGACACTCCAGAGAGTGAAGGGGGGGTGTCATTAGTAATTCTTCCCAGACAACAGGCATAAACCAGAACCTTCCAGGGTGGCTCAGGGAATAGCATGGCTCTACTCAGCTGTATTCATCGGCCCCTCTCCTACCTGACTTTCTTCCTCCCTCTGCCTATAGACGACCAAAACATTTCTCTCCTTAACCTGTTCCCACCTCAAGCTTCCCTCTTTCCTTCCCTTAGTTAAGTATCCGTAATGTCAGCATAAAAAACAAACAAACAAACAAGCAACAACAAAAAAAACCCAGGGTCTCTTCTCCGTCCTCATCCTGTAGCCCCTGGAGCTGTGGCTACAAGTACCCTCAACCTTGAACTCTCTCTTCTCTTGGGTTCTGTGCCAGGGGTCTCCAAGTTCGCCCCCATGTTTCAAGATTGACTTTGAGGACTCACAGAATTCAGCATGCAGTCGTACTCAGAGCTCAGATGTATTACAACTGTACAGAAGGATACGAGATCGTAAGAGAAAAGGACACAGGCAGAGTCTAGAGGAATGCAGGGGTGGATTTACCCATGCTCAGTCTTTCCCATGAGGGGTCACACACAGAGCTCTTCCACCAGCAACACAATGCAGCACCACGTGCGCGATGTTTCTGCCCAGAACGTTAGTCTCTACCTATTAGAGACTCAGAGGCCAAGGTTTTTACTGGCAGCTGGCCATGTAGGCCCTCTCTGCCCAGCAAATAAACAGTATAAAGAGCCCAGAGTGAGCCACCCTCATCTGCTAGGGAAGTGTGGAACACCCTGGAATTCCAGACATCAGCCAACAGCCCCTCTTGCCAGCGGGCCTTCCTAAGGAGAGTAGGCCTGTTACGTTAACTCTTTTCTGCAACGATTCCTGGATCCTGTATCATCTGGTTTTCTGCTTCCCTTAACATCTAGTCACATCCCTGTCTCCCTCCTTCTGTGTTCTCTTCCACTCAGGCTTCTAACCAACGTCTTTATACAGTGATATTCAAACCAGCCATTACTGCCTAAGGGCCAAGTTTCTGACCACCCTCCCCCTGTCCCCCTTTCAAACCTGGTCTATTTAAGGCTAGCTAACTTGGGGTTAGGGATCCCAGGCTGGAGGGTTTTAACAAGAGGACACTGGTCCCTTCCTCGTTCTGCCCCTAACTGGTGCATGCCTCAGTTTCCCCGTGTGTAAAAGCAGGAGGCTGGTTCTTATCAACGCTGACATGCTATGGTTCACTGATCTCCCCATCAAACTTTCCCCCTCTCTTCCCGGATTGGCCCCACTATGGCCCTTCTACTGGGGAGTGCAGCATCTTCCTAGGCTCCGCAGGCATCACACTGGACCCTAGCAGTCCAAAGGCACGGGGGCCTGTGAGGAGTTTCCTAGACGCCTCCAGACTATCACTCCAGACTGAGTGAAGTGGGTGTGTTGGAGGGGAGGGTGTCTTTGTCTTTAACCTCCGGTCTCCCCCTCTGCCCTCTCCCCAGCTCTTTCTCAGCCAAGAGCACAGGCAGTAAAAGTGGGTTTGAGGTCAGGGCAGGAAGTGCAGGGAAGCCTGGATCATCCCTGGGTCTGCCCCACAGGTTTTACTTCCCTTCTCCCACCCCCGCCACTCACTCCACGGAGGAGGCGAAAGGGTCTGCCCTCAGCTGATGCTAACATTAACACCCCCCCCCAAAGTTCCGAGGTTCCTGGGGCCGATCACCAGCCGAAACGCATCTCAGGGGAGCACCTCGCCGGAAGGCAGGCAGGGGGCAGCGCGGGCACGGGGCGTGCGGGCTCGGGGCCAGGGCCCAGTCTGCGCAGCCCCGACTCGGACGGACTCCTCGGGTCCCTGCGCGGCCTTCCGTCCGGAGGGAGGAAGCCCGCAGGCCGGGCGTCCAGCTCGGAGCCCGCGCCTGCCCCGCGGCCTCCCGTCCGCTCACCTCCTCCCCGCCGTAGCGGGCCAGCTCCTCCTCCGTGAAGAGCCTCACCGGGGGCCCCCGCTCGGCGGGGCGCGGCACCTGCCCGGCCCAGGCTGCCGGGGGCCCCGGGGCCAGCGCCAGGAGCAGGGCCAGCGCTGCCAGCCGCCGCAACCGCCGCCGGGACGCGGGGCCCGCCATGGTGCGCTCGCCGAGCAGGGCCGGCGGGCCTGGGTGGCTGGGTGGCCTGAGCGCGCTCCCGCCCCGCGGCCCCGGAACCCCGCCTCCCCCCGCCCGCGCGCGCCGCCCTCCCCGCCCCTGCGCGCCGCCCTCCCCGCCCCTGCGCCCTCGGGACCGCGCCGCTGGAGCTCCGACTCTGCTGCCCGGGACTGGAAGCTGTGCGGAGAGCGACCCACGTGACAGTAGTTGTTGAGTAGGTTCGTGGGTGACACAATCCCACACTCCAGCACCTAGGAGGATGTATTTACACACTAGGACCCCAGCTTTATTCAGTGGGGCTGGCTCAGTCGTGGAGCATGCCACTCTTGATGGGGGGTTGAGGCGGGGAATGTAAGTTTGTTCCAGCCCCGCATTGGGGTGTAGAGGGTTACCGAAAAATCTTTTTAAAAGTTCCCTTTTACTTCTGTCTGGTTTCTCTTCCTTTCCAGTTATGTCCCCAAAGGGATTTTTGCAAAGGGTAGAGCGTGGCGCAGATTTGCACTGAAATAATAAGGGCTGGCATTTGGGCAAAGACTCCTTCATTAATTCATAAAACAAATACTTTTTGAGGACTTCCCTGTATCAGGTTACTGGGAACACATCGCTGAACAAGGCATCAGTATCCACATGGAGTTTACATCCCATGGGCTTGTATGGATGAAATGGACAAAAGTGAGATACATACGTTGCTGTTGGGAGAAAAACAAAGCAGGATGAAGGACAGGTAGCGTTAGGGGGGGCTGCAGTTTTAAATGGGCTGATCAGGGCCTCCGGGGTGGCTCCGTGGGTTGAGAGTCGGTCTCAGAGTCAGTTCGGGTTGGGATCTCATGGTTCCTCCGAGAGCCCCAGTTGGGTCTTGGTAGGCGGTCTGCTTGAGACTCCCTCCCTCTTGTCCTTCCCCCTGCTTGTGCTTTCTCTTTCTCTCTCCCTGGAAAAAATAAATAAATCTCACAAAACAAAGAAACAAACAGGGTGACCAGGGAAGGTCCCGCTGAGAAGGTATTTGTATAAAGGGGGTAAGGGAGGTAGCCAGGAGGGGAGGACATTCTTCACAAAGGGGAAGACAGGTGCATACATGTTGAGGAAAGGCAGTGTTCTGCTTGCTGGAGAAACAGTGGGAAGGAAGAGATGTGGAAGATGAGGTCTGAGAGGTCAGAGGGTAAAGGGAAAGGAGGTTGGGGGCAGGTCTTGTGGGGCCTCACAGCTCACTTTTAAAGGATTTTGGCTTTTACACTTACTGAATGGAGGAGAGGAATGAGTTAAAATGTTAGTGGAATGACTCTGTGGTGTTGAGGACAGACTAAAGCAGGGAGCCCCTGCAGTAATCCAGTAACCCAGGTGAGAGGTGATGGTGGCTTGCGCTGGAGTGCTAGCCATGCAGGTGATGAACAAGGGGGTGGTCTCAGATGTGTTTCGAAGGTGAGCTGGAGGGATTTGCTGACCACTGAGAGGAGACGTGAGGTCAGGGAGATAGAACAGAGTCAAGGATGACCCAGAGGGTTTTGGCCTTGGTAACCATAAGGATGGAGTTGCCACTTGCTAAGATAAGGAGAGATGGTGAGAAGAGCAGGTCTTGGGGGAGAGGCTCAAGACCAGGCTTGGTCAGTTCGAAAACACATAGATATCAAAGTGGTATCAGATTGACAGTTGGCTATAGGAGTCTGGATTTGAAGGAAGAGTTCCAAGGGAGAGATATAAATCATGGGATCCTTGACATGTAAGTTGTATTTAAAGCCACAGAATGGGGCCACATGGATGGCTCAGTCGTTTAAGAATCTGCCTTCGGCTCAGGTCATAATCCCAGGGTCCTGGGATTGAGCCCCACATTGGGCCCAGCATCAGTCTCTCTGCTCTTCAGGGAGTCTGCTTCTCCTCCCTCTGGCCCTCCACCCCTGTTCATGTGTTCTTTTGCTCTCCCACTCTGCTCTCTCTCTCTGAAATAAGTAAAGTATTTTTTTTTTAAAAATATTTTATTTATTTATTTGACAGACAGAGATCACAAGTAGGCAGAGAGGCAGGTGGGGGGGGGTGGGCTCCCCGCTGAGCAGAGAGCCTGATGCGGGGCTTGATCCCAGGACCCTGGGATCACGACCTAAGCTGAAGGCAGAGGCTTTAACCCACTGAGCCACCCAGGCGCCCCTGAAATAAGTAAAGTCTTAAAAAAAAAAGAAAAAAACTTAAAAAAAATAATAAAGCCACAGAATAGTTGAGATCATCAGGGACATGCACGTGGATAGGAAGGTGGAGGGACCAAGGACTGAGTTCTTGGGTCCTGCCAGCATTTTGTGGGTGCGAGTACTGGCAAAAGAAACCAAACCATGTGCAAGCCCTGACTCAGCACTTTCACATGTATTAACTCATTTAGTCCTTGCTTTCACTCTATGAAGTAAGACACAGTGTCACCACCCGTCTTTACAGATAATGAAACTGAAGTGCAGAGACCTTAAATACCTTGCTCAAGGTCACAGGGGGTTGGTATAGCCAAGATTCAAGCCCAGGCCCCCTCCCAGCATCTCCCCTTAGGCCCACGGGCTACACCTTCCCTCAGTGACCATATCAAATGCTCATACATTTCATCCATGCAACAGAATAAACTTTTAATACAGAGCGACCTGAACAGGATCCATCACCAGGCCTCCGAATCTCAGTTTCTGTGTTAGTAACACACCAGGCTGCCTCCTTGATGGAATTGTGCCAAAACCAAAAATGATCACGGATGTGAGCTGTTCTGTGCAGAATCTGTGTTCCATGGGTCGCAGGATCTCCAGGTTAGGAGAGGCCCTGCTAAGCCCTTGAATAGAATATCATCCCCATCAGACGCAGCACGTTCCTTAATAACATTTCTGACCTATAGGGTGCTGCTTCTCTGAGCCCTTTCTCTCTCTACAGTTCCATTTGTTAATAACTTCTTTGAGCCCAAAGATACTCCCTACAATTTCTACTCATCAGATCTCCCTTCCTCTCCCTGAGACACCGAGTATAAATCTGTGGTGTAATGACATGCTCACATGCCCTTGAATTTTTCTAGGCATTCCTCTGATTGCCCTTCCCTACTTGAACCCAGAGTCATTTTCCCCAATGAATCAATCACCTGCAAGGAGAATACGAATTATTCAAAGAGAAACAGAATAACTTTTAATAAGATAATTGGTTGCACGGGGGATGAAGAAGGCTGAGAAGAATCCCGGAGGTAATGAGAAGATTAGAAACAGCAGGAGAGTAACAACATCCTAGACTTAGTAGGGAGGAGGAGGTGGTATTCAAGTCTGGGGGCCTGGGTCCCCTAGCTGAAGCTAGAACCACAAAAGGACTTTGCGTCAGGGGCTGGAGCCATGGAAGGGACACTGCCAGGAAGAGGGAGCAAAGAAAAGAAAAACCTTGCCTTCTCCCCTGCCCTGACCCCCTCTAATCTCCCAGCAGTGCTTCCTCTTGACTAAATTCAGTGGAAACCCAGCTACAGGACTGTCTGCCCTACGTGAAAAGTTTTTTTTTTTTTTTTTTTTTTTTTTAACCTGTAAGCAGCAGGTGCAATGATTAAAGCCACCTTGGTTGGCAGCGGCATCACTGGGATCTCTGCTGATGCCATAACGGGACACTCTCCCTGTGTGTCTCTCTTCACATCGTCTTCCATCTGTTGTAAGGCCTTGAGTCATAATAGGTGAAGGGATCACCTTACTTAGTATGACCTCATTTTATGTAATACCTCTGCAGCCATCTATTTCCAAATGCGGTCCCATTCTGAAGTACCAAGTTAGGACCCCAACATACCTTTTTGAAGGACACAATTCAACCCTTAACAAGGATCTTTTGGGATCTAGATGGTAATTCAAACCGTGAGACTAAAAAGGAACCCATTTCCCTAGCCCCTAGGGAGGGAGTTGAAGGGAGATCTAGAGCCCTAGCTTGGGAATGCCATCTTGGAGAATTGAGGGGATGAGGAGAATCTAGCAAAGGAGGCTGAGAAAGAGCTTTGAGTGAGACGAGAGCCAAAGGGGAGGCATGTGGGGTCCTGGAGGCCAGAGGAGGGAAGTAGACAGGGAGGAGAGTATCAGCCGAGGCCAAGGCAGCTGACAGATGAAGAAAGAGGATAAATAACAAAACAAATGAATAAACAAAAAACAGAATCATACCTATAAGTACAGAGAACGAAATGATAGTTGCCAGAGAGGGTGGACAAAATGGGAGAAAAGGAGTGGGAGATGCAGTTATGGAATGAATGAGCCACCAGAATAAAAGGCACAGGAGAGAGAATATAATCAATAATCTTGTAATCACACTGAATGGTGACAGATGGCAGCTACACTTGTAAGCACAGCATAACCTATAAACTTGTTGAATCACTATGTTGTGCAGCTAAAAATAATGTAACATTGTGTTACAACTATACCAAAAAAACCCAAACCAAAAAAAACAAACCTCACGAAAAAAAGAGGAGGATGGGGAAATGGACATCTGATTTGACAACTCTGAGGTCATTTGTGACCTTGACCACCAAATTTCAGTGGAGCAGAGAGGATGAAAGCCTGATTCGTGTGTGCTCATGAGAGAATGGGAGGAGAGGACTTGGGAACAGCTAGTACAGAAAATTCTATTTATGTGTTCATGGTTTCTCCACACTAGCATGGAAGAGCCAGAGGGCAAGGACCTGGGAGTATCCCATTTGTTTCTGTATCCCAGGGCCCAGTGCCGTATTTGTTAAAACCATGTCAGATATTGTACTAGTATCTCCTTCAGATGTGGGACTCTGTAATTTTCCAGTTTGGTCCGATCAACAAAGAGTAGAGAGGATTGATAGGGCTGGACTAGATTTTTCTGGTCTCTCAAGCTCTAAAATTCTATGATTGTGTGACCTGTTCTATCCACCAGCCTCGCATTAACGCAGCTAGGAATCTAAAGAGTTGTTTGTTGTCGTTTGTATTGCAAGCAACTGTTAAATGGCTGGAATAAGTGTTCCATTCATAAACTGAACATTGTTGAGTACCTACAATATATATGGTATATTTGCTATGTATATGGTCCCATTAAAGATGCAAGACCAGGGAACCCAGGGTGGGGGAGGATGGTCAGAAGAGGTGAGGGAGGCCTCCATCTACTAATACTCTGGAGGTCCAGGGGGCTTTGATGTGGTTGGTGCTACTGTGGTTGCTGCTGAAGATGGAAGAGGCCCCGAGTGGCCTGTGTGCAGGGCCTCGCAGAGCTGCAGCTGCCCAGGACACAGAGCAGCATTCACCAAAGCATAAGTGACCTCTATTTGCCTCACAACTAATCAGCCCGGAGTGGCCACAGAGAATGGCAGTTCAGGCAGTGGGAGGAGGGGAAGATGCAGTCCACAAATCCACCGTTCTACAAGCCAGACACCGTATTCCCCACCACATCCAGGGCAGGAGGCTTCTGCTGCAGGGGAACAGCACTTTTGTTTTTTGCTGCATGATCTGTAGGCTCTCAGCAAGGCCCTGTGAGCAGGGCAGGGTTTAGGCATAGATAGGAGGGCCCAGAGTATTAACCAGATCTGCGGGAGGTGCACCTCAGGGCTCAGTTGGTCAAGAACCTGCCTTCAGCTCAAGTCATGATCCTGGGGCTTTAGGATCGAGCCCTGCTTTGGGCCTCCTGTCTGAGGGGAGCCTGCTTCTCCCTCTGCCCATCCTCTCCGCTTCTGCTCTCTCTCTCAAATAAATAAAATCTTAAAAACAAAAACAAAACAAACAAACAAAAACCTGTGGGAGAGGGGCAGAGCCAGGACAAAAACCTAGATGTCCTGACTCCAACTGTCTGCCCTAGGAATAATGGAAAGTGTTTGGATTCTGTAGTCTGTTCCTGGATTAAATAATATTCATTTCAAAACAACAAAAAAAATTCTTTATGACTGCCTTGCCCAAATCCTTTCCGAAACAAGGTACCTCAGTTTCCTTGTAAAAGAGGGAGCAAAATGTCCAGCTTATAGGGTTCCTTGCAGGATCAAGGGCATAATATGAATGAAAATGCTTTGTAATATACAGTGTTCAACAGACATTTATTAATGGTTAGAAACCACCAGACTGCCTCTTGCATTTATAGATTAGGCTCTCCCACTCATCTGACCTGACCTCTTTATTCCACTTTCCACTCATTTTCTCCGTCCCTCCTCTTCTAACATACAGAGGAAGTGGGAGGTGAAAAGAGCACGTGCGTCTAACGCCTGGCTTAAACGTGGCTTTGGGTAGCGCTCAGGTTTTGCCATTCCAGAGTTGCTGAGCGATGGCTCTTGCCCAGAACTACATTTCCCAGCAACCCTCCCGCGGCACCAGCGGGAGCGAGGCGCATGCGCCGAGTGCCGCCCCGCCTGGTCTCGGGGCCGCACCTCCGAACCGGTTTCGCCCCGCGGAGCCGGCAGTTTAAAGTGCGGCGGCTGCCGTCCTCGCCCGCCGCTGCTCCGGAGCCGTAGCGGTCTCAGGTGTACCTCAGCTCGGCTCAGTGCCATGATCCGGCAGGAGCTCTCCACATCCTACCAGGAGGTACATGGCAGCTGGGGGCGGGGGCGGAAGCAAAGTTTCCCGTGGGGCATCCGAGCGGGGTCCCCGCGTCCGGGCGGGTGGGGTGCGGGGGGCGTCCCAGTGGCTCGAGTGCCCTTTTCGAGGAGTACGGCGGGGGAGGGGGTCCCGCGTGCGGAGGAGCGGCGGGGCAGGAAGGAAGCGGCACGCTGAACCTCCTCCGGATGCCGCCGGCGCGGGATGGAGCAGGGGCCCCGGAGGAGCCGCGACCGGTAGCCGGCAGGTGAATGATTAAAGCGGAGTCGGACCCAGGCAGCTGCGCGCGGGCGGGCCTTGACCTCGGCTGATCTTTGCAACAAGTGGCGGCACGGGCGCCCTTCTCCCAGCTAGAACGGCTGTGCGGGAGGCATTAGCCTTTCTGCAAGCCCAAGGCCTCGTGGCCCCTTGCAGGTGTAAATGACAGCGATAATTATGCCTTGTTTGGAGGCCCGCCTAACTGTGCAAAGGTGCTTCTCGCCGAGCTCGGTTTTTCTTAACTGTCTCATCTCCTCCCACTACTTTAACTATCACTTTCCAGTTCTTTGTCTCTTTCTTGTTTGTCCCGAGCTACAGGCTGCGGTTCCAGCTTTCCCTCACACCTCCCGACTCCCCGGAGCTAGTGAACTGCTCTCCTCCTCCTCTCAGGTCCTATATCCTGGTCATCTCTGGGGATCATCCTCCCCTGTGCCCCGCACGGTGGTCCCCTCACTTGTGCGTTCAGTCAGTTCCACATCTTCAGTCCTCAAGTTTGTGTCCCTGTGTCTCCTCTGGCCAACTGCGTGAGATGCTGTGTTACCAGCTCTCCCTTTGGTGTCTCCCATGCTGTGCAGGTTCCTTTTGAGGCCCTGCCTTGATCCCACAACATCCCTTTTTACAAACAACCTGATGCTGCTCTTGAACTACCCAAGTCCAGACTTCTTAGCAGCTTTCAAAGCACTGCTCAGAGTCATATCTTCAATTTTCATCTCACCCACCTATATTCTAACCACACTGGAAACTCACTCTTTACAAAGGTGCACCTGCTTTCCTGTCCCTTTTCCGCTTTCTCACACAGTTTCTTTTTCTTTAACTGTCTCTGAAACTCCATTGGTTAAAATTCCACCATCCCCCCCCATTATTCAAGGAGGGATCTTTAGTCCCACGTGCTCCATGGAGACTGACTTCCCAGATCAGTCTAGCATTCTGCCTGTCCTTCTCCTATGTACTTCCTGTTGTCTTGATCAATACTGACCACTATTGGTGTACATTCCTCGCTTTGTAAATGATCCTGTGTGGATCAAGCAGATGGCTTAGCCCTAGAGTGCAAGGGGAAACCGAGTTGAAAGTCGATGAGATTTGCCTAAGGCTTGCTATTTTCTTAGTATAAGACCTGGTCTGGAATCTGACTTTGGGACAAATTTCTATATTTCTCCTACCATCTCCTTTATCCAAAAGGAGCCAGATGAATTTTAACCCAGTGCTGTGGATTCTGTGGTCTCTAGATTCTATACTCTAGACAGTGAGGGAATTCTCAGGAATGAGTTGTGTCTTTCCTCTGAAAGTTTTCAGGTTTATAGGGAGAAGAGCATAGTGGATAAATACTACTTTCAAGTCAGAAAGCCTGTGTTCCTAACCTGGCTCTGCTTCTGGCCATTTGTCAAGTCACTTAACCTCTCTGAGCTTCAGGTTTCTTCATTTGCAAAGGATGGTAGCGATAGGCCTTATCTCCTATACCAATGAGTTGGTATACGGAATGTGCTTAGCTCAGCGCTTGTCAGGGAGAGACCTCTCAGTGAATGATGGCTCTTGTTAATAGAGCGTGGGCAGCTCCTGCTTCTAGGGTGCTTTGGGATCCTAGTTTGTAGGGCCATGTCCCTCACTGTCTGTACATAACCTGCAGTATCACCTTTCCCAGCAGGGCTCCTAAAATGGTTATTAAAATATAGGCAGTTATCCTGCTTTTAGGGGCAAGGCCAAAGGTAGAGTCACTTTCCTTTTGGGGGCACCCCAAGATGGAAGACATCGAAAGGACCCTTCCGCTTCTTCAGTGGCTCATTTTGAAGTCCCTGTCTCTTGCTTTGTTCAGAAGGAGGCCTCCCAGAGAGTGGCCTGCACTAGTCCTGCCTGGGTCATTCTGAGAGCAGACCTAGCTCTGAGTTAAACTGCTTTGCTGAAGGGGGATTTTGGCTTTGGGGATGGGGAAGGCAAGGAGTTATTAGGGCTGCAGGTAGTCAAGAAGGGAACTGGGTTGGGCTGAACTTGAGTAAGGCCTGGAACACAGAACTCTGGGCCTTCTCAGAACTAACCTCCTTCTTTCTCTTTGGCCAGCAAGAGTCTTGGGACCTCTTGCTCTGTGCTCCCATGACCCATATCTCATAGTGTCTTCTCCAGCCTCCTAGTCCTCTCCCATGTGTTGATTTTCTTGTGAGCTTGGAGGTCTTCAAACTGAAGGTTTTATCTGATTCTAAGGGGCAGGAGTGGAGGCATAGAAAGGCACTTGGCTGGCTCAGTGGGTAGATCATTTGACTCTTGATACTAGGGTTGTAAGTTCAAGCTGCATGTTGGGTGTAGAGGCTACTTAAAACTACAATTAAAAAAGAGAGAGATTGAAGACCAGTAGATACATGGGAGTTTTATTTTAACCCAAGTCTCCTGGAGATTAATTTTTAATGAAAATGTTTTGAGACCTTAAGTGTTGACACTGTGAACCTAAGAAAATACTTAGGAAAGCTATCCCCTTCCCCTCCCTCCTAATTCAGTGATAAGTCCTCTAAATTCTGGTCTTGATCTCTCTTGCCCTCTTCCTCCTCATTGCTACCAGAATTGTTGGTTATCATTGTATCCTTTTGCCCCTTATCCCTCTCAGTGGCACTTCCCCCATTTGCCAGATGAGAACACGATGAGGGGAGATTGAAGTTACCAGCTACCAGGCTGTTAATCAGCATCTGTTTCTGGGATGGACTGCCCTCTCCATTTCGTTCTGCCATTTGCAGTTGGAGTGGGTAGACATGAGCCAGAGTCCTGGAGAGTTCCGACACCAACTTCACTGTTTCCTCCTGCCTCTTAGCAGACTCTTAGCTGCATTTCCTCCTCCTTCTCTGGGAAGCCGTTAAGATTATAGGCTTTGGAACTAGACCAACTTGGATATGACTTTTGGCTCTGTGACCATGGAAAGTGTTGTGGTTGAATTATGCCCCTCCAAAAAGATGTGTGGAGAGTGTGAACCCCTAGTACCTCAGAAACTGACCTTATTTGGAAATAGGGTCATTGCAGATGTAATTAGTTAAGAGGAGGTCGTCCTGAAGTAGGGTGGGCCCTCATCCAATATGGCGTCTTTATAAGAAGATGACCATGTGGAGACACAGAGACACACAGAGACTCCATGTGAAGATGAAGGTGGAGATTGGAGATGAGTTGCCTTACAGGCCAAGAACACCGAGGCTTGCCCACCATTACCAGAAGCTTGGAGAGCGCCATGGAAAAGATTCTTCCTCACAGCGCTCAGAAGGAATCAGCCCTGCCAATGCCTTGATTTCAGATTTCTAGTTTCCGGGACTCTGAGGGATTCAACTTCTGTTCTTTTGAGCCACGCAGTCTTTGGTGCTTTGTAGAGCAGCCCCAGGAAACCGACACACAGGAAGTTACATGACTTTCCCGGGCCTCGGTGTCCTCATCTGTAGAACTGGAATAGCACACCCTGCATCATGTGATATTTGTGTGTGTGTGTATGTGTGTGTGTGTGTGTGTGTGTGAGAGAGAGACCATCAAGAGGCACTCTCTGCTTTCTCATTCTAGTCCTCCCTAGCAGGGTTGATGCAGCTGACTGATTTGCCCTCTTTGTTCCCCCTCCAGCTGAGTGAGGAGTTGGATCAGGTGGTTGAGAACTCAGAGCGGACGGGCGAGCAGGAAAAGGAGACAGACGGAGTCCAAGGTCCAGGAGTCTTACCAGGTAAGTGGATTCAGTGCTGGGGAGGAAGGGCTGGAAAGTGGTGCTCTGCTGTTGCCGCAGCCAGAGGCCCCAGCCGGGGCGCCTTGCCAGCTGGGTACCTGCGGAAGAGGAGGAGCCCCCCTCCCCCGCGCCCCGGTGTCAGGTCTCCAGTATTGCCCCAGTTTGAAAGCTATCCATATTTAACCAGCCTGGGGACGGAGGATGTGTCCAGGCCAGTGTCTGTTCTTTTCTGTGCTCTGGTGTGAGCCACTTCCTGAGGCCAGGCCGTTGGATACAGTGATCTCTGCTCTTCTGTTTGTTTTTCCCTAGGAGGCAGTTAGCAGTGGAGCCTCTTAATATCGGAGTCCCTTCCCAGGGCTCTCTAGGAGAATATAGGCCTCACCTCCTGAACATCAGGTTTCCCCACGATTGTCACCCAGCTGGGCAAGCAGGGTCCCATTTGTCAGGCCGCATCCTGGGGAGTCTTACGGACTCTCTCCTGGATACACTCTGCTCCCTTATGTGACATCCTGTGTAACACTTGACTTCCCAGACCGCTTGCTCCCTCCAGCCACCTTCGCAGTCTCCTTCTAGCTCTTGGGTGTTAAATGTTGGTCAGAGGCCCCCATGTTGCTGTGGAGGGCAGGCTCACCCGGGCCAACCTCCCTGCTTCCGTCACTGCTTTGCTCGCACATGGGGCCACGTTCACACTCCTAGCCCAGAGCTCCAGACTTGCATATCCGGTATATCCAGATGCCCCCTGGTAGCTCTGCTTGACTGTCCCAAAGGTACCCTAAACCCCAAACTGACCTCATGGTCTCCCCCCTCCCAGCGTGGCCCTCTTCCAGTATTTCCTATTTTGGGGAATGGAACCCGCCACCCATCCAGCTGAATCAGAGTCATTTTCTTCCCCTTCCTTCCTTTCTTCCCCTTTTCCTCTGCTGCTCAGCCATGCTGGCCTTCTTTTACTTAGGCCTCCCTCCCTTCCACCCTCCAGCGTTTCCATAGTTTTAGTCCTCTGCTGAGAAGGGTCTTCGGTCTGTCATCTAGTTAATGCTAATTGTTCTTCAGCTCTCGGCGCATCCACTGTCCTCTACAAAGCCTTTCTGACCTCCTGGCTGGATCGCTTGCCCCATCCAACCCTGTCCCTTGCGGCCTGCACACCTCTCTGTTGGCGCCGTCCCTGATGGGACGGGGGATTTGTCTACCGGGCACTTGATGAACGTCGGTGCTGCCAGCACGTAAGCTCCATGAAGGTAGACACCGCTCCGTTTCCCTCCCCACCTTGGCCCTGGCCATGCAAGAAACCTTTGTTGAATAAATGAATGAGTGAATGGAGCCTTCTAACTCCCAGCTTCTCGGGTGGATTAAAGGAGGTGGACTTCTGCTCCTCGTGATGCTTGCATTTATGGGGGAGAGGACTGAGCTGGGATCTTCTGTGATGGTGCTTAATCCCCACAAGGCTGTAGAAGGGAGGAGACCAGAGGAGGAGCTCTTTCCTGACTGCTTTCTCCGAGCCAAGCTCTGTCCTCCCCGTTGCCCCATTGAATTCTCATAGCTTTCACCTCCAGGGTGGTGGTCAACCTGATTTTCATGGATGAGGACCCAAGGCCCAGGGGAGTTAAGGAAAGTATGGAAAGATCTGGGCTGATAAACAGACTGGATCCAGCTCTGTCTGACCTCAGACTCTCTACCACACCAGTGCCTCTTAAGTATTTTAAGCATCTTTTATTAAAGCCTCTTGCATAAAAGGTAGTAGCATGTCTGCCCCCACTCTGGCTCTCAGCATTGCCTCTGAAGCCGTCAAGCCCCAGGGAGAGAACGGTACATCCGTATTTACCTGCATTAGCTCTGTATATTAGTTTCTGTTGTCTCTATAACGAAGTACCACAAAGTTAGTGGTTTAAAGCAACACAGATTTATTATCTTACAACTCTGGAGGGCAGAAGTCCAAAATGGGTCTCACTGGGCTAAAATTAAGGTTTCAGCAGGACTGCATTCTTTTCTGGAAGCTCTAAGGGAAAATCCATTTCGGTGCCTTTTCAAGCTTCTAGGGGCTGCTCACATTTCTTGGCTCATGGCCCTTTTTCCATCTTCAAAGCCTCCCATGGCCGGTTGAGGCTTTCTCATATCTTATCGTCTCACACTGACTTCTGCCACCTCCTCCCTGTTTAAGAGCCCTGTGGTGGTGTTGGGCTCACCCAGATAACCGAGGAAAATCTCCTTGTCTTAAAGTCAGGTGAGTGGCAGCTTTAACCTGCTGCCTCAGTTTCTCTTTGCCATGTCACTTGAGCTGTTGATAGTGCCACAAATGAGGCCTTGGACTCATTCTGCCTGCTGCACACCCTGCTCTCTGCCCCCCAGTCGGAAGAGGATGGATGGAGATGGCCAGACGAAGAGGAGACAGGCCAGACTTGGAAAGATGAAGAGTTCTTTTATGTTTCCTCTTAGAGATAAGTGCCCTGCAGACTGGGAAGTATTTGTGATGATCTTTGGCCTTGGTTTCTCTTTTGCCTCCGATTCCTGGGGCCTTAAATCCTGAGGTCAGCCTGAGCAGGAAGGCGGACCTCAAGCAGAGTAAATTTTGGGTAGTTCCAGGGCCTGGCAAGAGCCTCCCGTGCTTTTGGCGGACCCTTCTGGGTGCATCTCTTTTGTAGACCATAGAAGATCCAGACTCAGAAGTCTCAGTAGTGAGTCGGCCTGAGCTTGATGAACTTGATGACCTGATACACAATTCTCAGAGCTCATTTCCAGCCTTTGAGCCCTTGAACAATAGTTCAACTAATGGTAATGAGGACAGTAGCCACCATTTATTTCCTGGGTGCTTTCACGTACTGGGCCTGCATAGGGCTTTGTGTCTGTGCTTACACAGAGCCATCACAGCCACTCTGCGGAGGAGCTGGTTAGTCTGGAGGCATGGAGAGGTTAAGTAATATTCTCAGAGCTTCTGAGTGGCAGCGCTGGGATTTGAACCCAGGGCTGCCTCCCGGGGTTTCCTGACTCTGGCTTAGTTTCTAGATGAGCTGCTTTTCTGCTCCCAGATTCTCCCCTTCCTCGACCAGAGTCACTCCTGGACTCCTTCACCTGTTACTCCGTGTGCTAAAACTACAAAGAGGGCAAATGAGGCAGGATCCACCTTCAGGGACTCGGGACATGTAGAGAGAGAAGGCAGGTTTCCCACAGATGAACTTATCTGTCCTTGTATAGAGCCTGCCCTGAACAACCTAATGAGGGCCTTTTCTCCCTGTTAGGTGCTTTCCTGGCACTTGGTACTTTTTCTTTGTAGAATTTAAATTTAGCACAGTCGAAAGGGCATACTTATTGAATATAATTTTTTTTTTTTTAAGATTTATTTATTTTAGAGAGAGTGCGTGAGCACAAGCCAGGAGCAGGGCAGAGGGAGAGGGAGAGCGAGAACCCTCAAGCAGACTCCTTGCTAATCGCAGAGCCAGATGCATGGCCAGTCTCACGACCCTGAGATCACGACCTGAGCCAAAATCAAGATTCAGACTCTTAAGAGGACTAAGCCACCCAGGCACCCCTTGAATATAATTCTTTAACGAGTTGTTACCAACCCCTTGGACCTGCCCCCGGGAATGCTGCTGTGAGGCACTCCCAGAACTTCCTCTTTCCCCCCTTCATTGTATCTCTGATGCTTACTTCGCAGAGCGCCTGGTCCATTGTGGGCCATTGTGAGATATGATTTACATGCCATGTACACCTGGCGCTCAGTATTTGTACTTCAGAGGGGGACACGGGGGTTTGGAACAGGAATGTATGTCATTTGAGCAATTGGAATGAATGATTGAGGGTCAAGGAAATAGTAGGGACAGAAATGGGGCTTCAGAAATGAACAAAAGGGGGCTTCCTTAGTGAAGGAAGTGGGATTAACCGGAGGAAGGGCGATTGCCCTGCGCAGTCCTAGCCCATGAAAGCACCCAATGGCTGGTGGCTACTATCCTCCTTAGGTGGAAAAGAAGGGGCTGGCCAGGGAGGAGGGATGGCACCTGCAACCATGGAGAGCTCGGGATAAAAACAGGGTGCTTTGGAAGCTGGGTAGCGGGGTGTGTTTGGAGTGGTGGGTTGGCGAGAGAACTAGAAGCAGATGAGGCAGAAGGATAGATTGAGTCCGATTAGGGAGGGCTTTGTGTGTCAGGGTTTAGCCTTTACAGAGTGGGGCATATTTAATGGGATTGGAGCAGACCAGTAAGTGGGGTAAGCGGCGCCACTGGGCTGGTCAAAGGCTGGTGTGGCAGGCTGCTGCGAGGAGCGGGAGAAGGGAGACTCGAAGACTCTGAGGCCGGGTGAGTGGGCAAATGTAGACCTATTTCAGTCTGGAGGGGTGAGTAACTCAAAGAGAAGATGCTCTTGTGCTGCAGACACATGAAGCCCCAGTGGGCGCAGTGTGTCTGGGCTGACGGCCCCGAGGCAGAGCTGAGCACTGGCACAGTGAAGGTGGGAGCCTTGAAGAAAGCCTGGGACCATGTGTAGAGGGAGCTCTGGAGACTGGGCCTCAAGGAATGGCCATGTTTGGGGACCAGAAGAGGAGGGGGAGCTGGAGCCCGATGGAGGGCCTAGAGGTGGGAGCCACAGGACAGGAGGCCGGTACTGGGATGCTGAGCCTGCTGGCACTGGGTAGCACAGGTTCAGGCTAAGCACCAAACGTTCAGGATTATATTCCCAGTTTTACTCTCCGAGATAAGTAACTCCAATCCGTAGTCTGAGAGCCTCAATCTGTTTCCTCTCCATCAGGGGAATCCCAACCACTTACTCTCTCCAAAGGGAGAAATGAGAGCAGACATGTTAACTGAATAAGCAGTTTATTATATCACAGTTGAAATAAAATTGAGGAAGACACTTGGCTAGTTAGTCATTACAGTCAGTTCTCCATGGAAACAACTGTATATTAATAGAATTGACAAAAATCAGCAGCCAAAGGAAAAAATATATTGGATCTCCTCAAAATGAAAACCTTAAGTGCATTAAAAGACACCACCAACAAAGTGAAAAGACAGCCCGTA